AAAATCTGCGCTAAGAGGAGATGCTTATCGTATTGTGCAGTCAATATCCATAGTTGACTCTAATTATAAATTAGCCTTTTCATTACTAGAAGAAAGGTTCTCTAATCACCGTGAACAAGTGTATGCTCATCTGAGACGATTTATGAATATGCATCCTATGCAAAATGAGTCTGCGTCAGCAATATTAAACTTAATTGACATTACAAATGAATGCGTGAGATCATTAGAAGTTTTTAAATCAGAGTGTTAACGGTTTTTCTTCCAATGTGTTTGCATACATTTTAGGGCAAAAATTAGATCCTAACACCAAAATATGGTGGGAAAGAAAATTAGAGAAAGAGAATTTGCCTAATTTAACAGATCTTATAGAATTTCTTAAAGATCATGCAAGAACTCTCAACGCTTCAAATAGTGTGACTAACACAAAAAAGTTACACATAGAGTTACCGCTGTCGTTTCTAATGCAAATGAAAAACATATGCAGAATTCGTGTAGGTTATGTAATTTGAGCAATCACAAGCTTTTTAATTGTCCTAAATTTCAGAAATTAAGTGTGTAAAAGAAAGGGTAGAATTTGTGAAAAAAACAGAATTTATGTTTTTGTTGTTTTAATTTGCACAGTGTGAGAAATTGCCGTTCTAATTACTTGTGCAAGAAGTGTAAGAAAAAAAAAACATAGCTTTCTCTTGTGTTATCAAAACAAAGATAATTCCGTTAGCACCACAGTAGAAAGAGCAGAAACTTTAGATCAGGAGTTGGGTGATCAAAACAGCAATGTGTTAAATGTATATGCACCTTCATTTCAAGCTAAAACTCAAAACGAAACCTTTACAGCCGCTACAGGTACTAATAGTGGGGAAAACGTGATTTTATCTACTGCCTTTGTATTCATTGAGACTAATGATGGAACTTTAATTAAGGTGAAAGCGTTATGTGATAGTGGAAGTGTTTCTTGTTTTTGTACCACTGAATTAGCGGATATACTTAATTTAAAAAGAAGGAAAAGACAAATATTTCGGTTTGCAGTATATCAGGTATTTCAACTACGATAAAAAGAAAAGCAGTTGCCCTTATCTGTAATCAGGAACAAACGTATAAAAGGAAACTAGAGGTTTTGGTAATTCCAAAAATAGCAGGTTTAACTCCCGCAAAGTTTATCGATGTTAGTAACCTTGTGATTCCTGAGAAGGTGGTGAATTTAGCGGATCCGGAATTTTATAAACCAGAGAAAGTAAACCTGTTGCTCGGCGCGGAAGTTTTTTATGATATGTTACGAGCTGGTAAAATCTATGTTCCTAACACAGGCTTGATATTACAAAATAGTGTGTTTGGATATATAGTTAGTGGAAATGTAAATGATTCACGGAGAAATAATTTATCGTATTGTGGGTTAATAAATGATAATTCAGAGAGTGAATTGAAAATGTTTTTCGAACTAGAATCATTAGGAATTAAAGATGATCCTTATTGTCATGAGGAAGACAAAGCATTGGAAATATTTAATAAGACAGTTTGTTTTAAAGCTGGTCGCTACGAGGTTACTTTACCTTGGAAAAGGGACTGGAGGGAATTAGCTGATAATTACCGAGTAGCGGAAAATAGATTAAAAACTCTTGCAAAGCGAATGAATTATGACAAAACACTGTTTTCTACATATAGTGAAATATTAGATGATTATCTCAAGCAAGGTATCATTGAAAGAGTGTCAGATGAAAATATACCTATCGGTAAACCAGTGTTTTTACCTACCACACCAACCGGTATTTAGAGAAACCAGTGCTTCAACGAAGACTAGAATAGTGTTTGATGGCAGCTCACATGAGTTCGGGCAGCTATCACTGAACGATTGTCTATGGACAGGGACAAATTTAAATCCTAATATGTTCCATCTGCTAATTAATTTCCGATTAAATAAAGTTGCAATTTCAGCGGATGTAGAAAAAGCATTTTTGCAGATTGCTTTGGCAGAAAAGGATCAAGACGCAGTGCGATTCCTGTTTGTGGAAAACACACAATTAAATGATCTAAAACTAGCGACATATAGATTCAAGCGCGTAAATTTTGGGATTAAGTCAAGTCCGTTTTTGTTGGCTGCAACAATTAAAGAACACATTAGAAAATATCGAGATGAGCAGCCAGATGTATTTGAAATATTGAATTCTTGTGTTTATGTTGATGATTTTATTACTGGACAGGACAGTATAGATGAGGCTCTAAGCTTATCGCGTAAAGCTAAACAAATTATGAGTGCAGCAAATATGAACTTGCGTAAATGGGTATCCAATGATCCTGAGCTGATGAGAAAATGGGAAAAAGAAGATTTCGAGATCCATCCACATAAAATCAATGACTCAAACGAGACACTTAAGATCTTGGGAATATCTTGGGATACTAATGAAGACAGTCTGAGTATAGACACAGACAGTTTGATGGAATTCCTTAAGAATAAGCGTAATACGAAACGGTTCATCTTGAAAACTGCCGGGAAGATTTTTGATCCCTTTGGGTTAATAACTCCATTTACTGTTAGACTTAAATTCTTGCTACAAGAACTTTGGGTTCGAAAATTGACATGGGATGATGAACTACCTACAGATATCTGTCAAGAGTGGGCAAAGTGGTGCTGTGAGTGTCATCATCTAAGTAAAATTGCAGTTCCAAGATTCATTTTGAATCCCGAAGCCGATTCCATAGAGATCCATTGCTTTTCAGATGCCAGTCAGAGGGCGTACGGTACTGTTGTCTACGTAAAACTGCGTAAGCAAGAAGAAATTTCTGTGAGTTTCGTCGCATCAAAATGTCGTGTTGCACCTGTGAAAAGAATTACGTTACCTCGTCTTGAATTACTTGGTGCATTACTAGCAGCGCGTTTAGGTTCTGGAGTGAAAAAATTGCTCGATCAAAAGAAATCCTCGAGAATATTTTATTGGACTGATGCCAAAATAGTGCTATGCTGGATTAAAGGTACCAGTACCAAATGGAAATCTTTCATCGCCAACAGAGTTAACGAGATTAGGAAGTTAACACAGCCGACAGAGTGGTTCTATTGTTCAACAAAAGAGAACCCAGCAGATGTTATGACGCGTGGTGTTCAAATTGACTTTCTTGTGAACTGTTCCAAATGGTGGTCATGCTGTGACTTTCTAACATGCTCAGAGATTCCTCATCAGGACTTATCAATTGAGGTAGTTGAAGAAGTGTGTCCAAATGAACTTAAAAAGGACAATGAACTGCATAACGATTCTAACTTAGTTTTAATTGCATGTAATGAACCAAACCTCTTTAATGATATTCTTAATTTGTCTTCTAATTATACTAAACTTATTCGTATTGTAAGTTTCATTTTCAGGTTTATCCATAATCTTAAGAACCCTCAGGTAAAGAGGTACGGAGTACTTACTTTAGAAGAGATAAAGAATGCTGAGGTGTATATTTTATTAGAGGCCCAGAAAAGTGAGTTTCTAGAAGAAATAAATCAATTAAAAAGACGTAAGTGTGTAAACCTAAAAAGTAAATTAGCATCACTGAATGTGTTTCTTGATAACTTGGAACTAATTAGAGTGGGCGGACGATTGTCCTAATCGGACCTACCCGCTAGTAAACACCCTATAAAAACCCTATAGTTAAAGTAAGTAACTATAGGGTAACGCTAGTAAAAACCCTATAGTTTTTCCTAGTAAATATCGTTTAACTACTATTATTTTAGAGCATTTTCATTTGAAGTACTTTCATTTAGGATCACAATCACTGTTACATCAGGTAAGACAAAGGTTCTGGCCGCTCAATGGCAGAAATAATTGTAGAAAGATCATCTACAGATGTGTGACATGTTTTAAGAACAAACCCATCACAGTTCAACAAATAATGGCCAAGTTGCCCAAAGAGCGTGTCACACCATCATAACCATTTAACATAACTGGTGTTGATTTCTGCGACCCATTTGCAATAAAGTTTAAGAATCAACGTAAGGGAGTTTTGAACAAAATTTATGTCGTAGTATATGTATGTATGAGTACAAAAGCCATACACTTAGACTTTGTGAAAGACCAAACTAGCCAATCTTTTATTTCGAGCTTAAAACGTTTTTTCTCTAGAAGGGGAAAATGTACTGGAATAATGAGTGATAATTCTAAAACCTTTACTAGTGTAGAACTCAAATGCAAAAATTGGTTGAGTGTCCAGATGAGAATTTAGCGAGTTTTTATACCACTGAAGGTATAGAGTGGAAATTTATTCCTCCAAAGTTCCCAAATTTCGGCGGAATTTGGGAGGCCGGGGTTAAATCATTTAAGAATCATTTGAAGAGAGTTATTGGTAATCAGTGTTTAACTTTAGAAGAATTTTTAACTGTTTTAATTGAAATTGAAGGAGTATTGAACTCAAGACCTCTTACTTCAATTTCAGCTGATTACAATAATTTTGAAACTTTGACCCCAGGTCACTTTTTGGTTGGTAGACCTATCACAACTCTAGCTGAGCCAGATTTATCCAACATAAATGAAAACAGACTTTCTAAATGGCAAAGAATCACTAAGTATACACACAAAAAAAAAAAAAAAAATTTGGAAATTATGGAAATGTGATTATCTTAATAATTTACAAGAACGTCACAAGTGGAAATTTTTAAAGGATGACGTTCAGTTGGGAACTCTCTTTGTATTAATAAAAGATGAAAATTTGCCTTCAACCAAATGGTTAGTGGGGAGAATAGCTGAGGTTTTTCATGGTAGGGATAACAAAATAAGAGTAGTAACTGTAAGATTGCCTAATCAACATTTGCTGAAACGAAATGTTCGAGATATATGTATACTTCCCGTAGAATGATAGTTTATTTCTATTATTAACTGGTATTTGTTGTAATAATTTGAATGTATATTTTCAATATTGTGATTTGTTATTGTGAAGTAATTTATTGTAGTGCCTTTATATTTACATTTATTTAAATAATAGTTTTGAAATTGTTAATTTCAACGCCGGGAGTGTTTTGTATTAGCTGAAAAATGCTTGGCACCAGAGTGGAATCTTGGCTAACGGCGCACGCGCCGATGTTTTTCAAACTAGAATCATTAGGAATTAAAGATGATCCTTATTGTTATAAGGAAGAAAAAGCATTGGAAATATTTAATAAGACAGTTTGTTTTAAAGCTGGTCGCTACGAGGTTACTTTACCTTGGAAAAGGGACTGGAGGGAATTAGCTGATAATTACCGAGTATCGGAAAATAGATTAAAAGCTCTTGCAAAGCGAATGAATTATGACAAAACACTGTTTTCTACATATAGTGAAATATTAGATGATTATCTCAAGCAAGGTATCATTGAAAGAGTGTCAGATGGAAATATACCTATCGGTAAACCATTGTTTTACCTACCACACCAACCTGTATTTAGAGAAACCAGTGCTTCAACGAAGACTAGAATGGTGTTTTGATGGCAAGCTCACATGAGTTCGGGCAGCTATCACTGAACGATTGTCTATGGACAGGGAACAAATTTAAATCCTAATATGTTCCATCTGCTAATTAATTTCCGATTAAATAAAGTTGCAATTTCAGTGGATGTAGAAAAAGCATTTTTGCAGATTGCTTTGGCAGAAAAGGATCAAGACGCAGTGCGATTCCTGTTTGCGGTAAACACACAATTAAATTATCTAAAACTAGCGACATATAGATTCAAGCGCGTATATTTTGGGATTAAGTAAAGTCCGTTTTTGTTGGCTGCAACAATTAAAGAACACATTAGACAATATCGAGATGAGCAGCCAGATGTATTTGAAATATTGAATTCTTGTGTTTATGTTGATGATTTTATTACTGGACAGGACAGTATAGATGAGGCGTAAAGCTAAACAAATTATGAGTGCAGCAAATATGAACTTGCGTAAATGGGTATCCAATGATCCTGAGCTGATGAAAAAATGGGAGAAAGAAGATTTCGAGATCCATCCACATAAAATTAATGACTCAAATGAGACACTTAAGAACACTTACGATTTGGAATACTAATGAAGACAGTCTGAGTATAGACACAGACAGTTTGATGGAATTCCTTAATAATAAGAATAAGCGTAATACGAAACGGTTCATCTTGAAAACTCCCGGGAAGATTTTTGATCCCTTTGGGTTAATAACTCTATTTACTGTTAGACTTAAATTCTTGCTACAAGAACTTTGGGTTCGAAAATTGACATGGGATGATGAACTACCTACAGATATCTGTCAAGAGTGGGCAAAGTGGTGCTGTGAGTGTCATTATCTAAGTAAAATTGCAGTTCCAAGATTCATTTTGAATCCCGAAGCCGATTCCATAGAGATCCATTGCTTTTCAGATGCCAGACAGCGGGCGTACTGTACTGTTGTCTACGTAAAACTGCGTAAGCAAGAAGAAATTTCTGTGAGTTTCCTCGCATCAAAATGTCGTTGCACCTGTGAAAAGAATTACGTTACCTCGTCTTGAATTACTTGGTGCATTACTAGCAGCCCGTTTAGGTTCTGGAGTGAAAAAATTGCTCGATCAAAAGAAATCCTCGAGAATATTTTATTGGACTGATGTCAAAATAGTGCTATGCTGGATTAAAAGTACCAGTACCAAATGGAAATCTTTCAACGCCAACAGAGTTAACGAGATTAGAAAGTTAACACAGCCGACAGAGTGGTTCTATTGTGCAACAAAAGAGAACCCAGCAGATGTTATGACGCGTGGTGTTCAAATTGACTTTCTTGTGAACTGTTCCAAATGGTGGTCATGCTGTGACTTTCTAACATGCTCAGAGATTCCTCATCAGGACTTATCAATTGAGGTAGTTGAAGAAGTGAATCCAAATGAACTTAAAAAGGACAATGAACTGTATAACGATTCTAACTTAGTTTTAATTGCATGTAATGAACCAAACCTCTTTAATGATATTCTTAATTTGTCTTCTAATTATAATAAAATTATTCGTATTGTAAGTTTCATTTTCAGGTTTATCCATAATCTTAAGAACCCTCAGGTAAAGAGGTACGGAGTACTTACTTTAGAAGAGATAAAGAATGCTGAGGTGTATATTTTATTAGAGGCCCAAAAAAGTGAGTTTCTAGAAGAAATAAATCAATTAAAAAGAGGTAAGTGTGTAAACCTCAAAAGTAAATTAGCATCACTGAATGTGTTTCTTGATAACATGGGGCTAATTAGAGTGGGCGGACGATTGTCCTAATTCGGACCTACCCTGCTAATAGTAAACACCCTATAGTTTTACCTAGTAAACATCGTTTAACTACTATTATTTTAGAGCATTTTCATTTGAAGTACTTTCATTTAGGATCACAATCACTGTTACACATCAGGTAAGACAAAGGTTCTGGCCACTCAATGGCAGAAATAATTGTAGAAAGATCATCTACAGATGTGTGACATGTTTTAAGAACAAACCCATCACAGTTCAACAAATAATGGCCGAGTTGCCCAAAGAGCGTGTCACACCATCATACGCATTTAACATAACTGGTGTTGATTTCTGCGACCCATTTGCAATAAAGTTTAAGAATCAACGTAAGGGAGTTTTGAACAAAATTTATGTCGGTATATAGATATATATATATGTTTGAGTACAAAAGCCATACACTTAGACTTTGTGACAGCAAAACTAGCCAATCTTTTATTTCGAGCTTAAAACGTTTTTTCTCTAGAAGGGGAAAATGTACTGGAATAATGAGTGATAATTCTAAAACCTTTATTCATATTAGTGTGAACTTAAAAAAATGCAAAAATTGGTTGAGTGTCCAGATGAGAATTTAGCGAGTTTTTATACCACTGAACGTATAGAGTGGAAATTTATTCCTCCAAAGTTCCCAAATTTCGGCGGAATTTGGGAGGCCGGGGTTAAATCATTTAAGAATCATTTGAAGAGAGTTATTGATAATCAGTGTTTAACTTTAAAGAATTTTTAACTGTTTTAATTGAAATTGAAGGAGTATTGAACTCAAGACCTCTTACTTCAATTTCAGCTGATTACAATAATTTTGAAACTTTGACCCCAGGTCACTTTTTGGTTAGTAGACCTATCACAACTCTAGCTGAGCCAGATTTATCCAACATAAATGAAAACAGACTTTCTAAATGGCAAAGAATCACTACGTATACACAAAAAATTTGGAAGTTATGGAAACAGAGTGGAATCTTGGCTAACGACGCATGCGCCGCCTGAATTGGCTTTGAAATGTATTCTGTGAAAAACTTGATTTTGTGGTACATTGGAAGTTGCGATTCATATGTTACGCTGTAAGGTGAAACCTAGCGCCTGAGTGTCGCTATGGAAAATAAATGTATTTAAACTGTGTAATGTGTGTGGAGTTATTTTATTATGATATATAGCTATTGACGGGAAATAGAATAAGTCAGTACAAATGGCTTTTGAAATATTAAATCTAACTGAAGTGTTGATATCTACCTCTTATTGACAACTGCACAATGCGTAATTTAAATACCTCTCTTAAGCATATTGAAGTTTTATATTTACCAGCAAATACCGCAGCCCTAATTTAAGCATGTTATTAATGGTTTATTAGAGCAACGAAAGACTATTATTGCTGTAAGACGAGTATCAGAGCCCTTTACAAGATGAATATACGTGCAACTGAATACGTCTTGAAACTGCGTCTTAGCAAAACAGCGAAGAGCTGCTTTAAATATAATAAGATCTTAATAAATGAAGAAAACAAGGTGAAGAAGAAGAAAGCAGTGTCTCTAACTAACATGCATTGTGAGAAATTCAACGCATGAGTGGATATTGATGGAAAAAATTATGTTGACGGTTTTTTAAAACACTTTTGAACACGTACAATCTTCCTGTGCACCCCAAACGTAGAACATGGAGCTTATAAAATTAAATTAACTAAAGCTTTAAATAATACATGCATAAAAAAACGAACAAAAATAGATAACAGCAGTCTAGACTTCACAAAAACAGAAAAGTTCATGGCCAAGTCATGGCAAACGTTTTCAAATCGTTCTGCAAGCATAATCTAAGGCCATCGAAGATACAGCAGGAAAAAGTAAATGTTTCCCATCTTGAGGTACTTTTCCTTTAACACTGACATAAATTACTTGATCTTAGATTGAAAGGAAATAGGTAACTTGAAAATTTACCGTGACCAGATGAAAACTGAGATAATACTTCAATACTGAGATACTTTGTTAATAAAGAGGAAAGACTCGGATTGCACTCTACGGTAAAATAGAAGTAAAGAACTTTTTGATGCCCTCAGTACTACAAGAACAAATATATTTCTCAATCCACTTATATAAGAGTTTTTATAATAAAAAGACTTCCAATACTTCTTTGCAATACTAGTGAGTATTAAGATTAAAAACACATTACCCATTAATATTAATGGGTAAATTTAAGGCATCTTTACCTAAAAAATCAGTTTTTTTCCCATTTCCATACAATTCAACAATAATACGAAGATGGGAGAAGATATCTGTCAATTGCTTTTCAAAACAAATCCAAAGACACCATGTAATGAACTTTCTGAAAATGATCATGATGAAATCGGTGAATTCAGTATAAGTGTTCAGATAAGGATCCCGTATGAATACTATTAAAATCTGTGCGCGGCTGTCTGTTTGTTTGTTTACAACATCATTTCCTCCGGAGCAGCGGCTTCGAGAAAGGTAGCCCCAGATTCCAAAAAGCCATTTCGACGTTGGAAGCCATTTCGACCATTCCCATCTTTTTATGATTTTAATCAACCGAGATATTAATTGAAAACTCTGAAAACGCAAATTTTCTCGCCCTGCAAGGGTTTTGTTTTTTTAAAACTTCAATATGTTCGGCACGCTTTATCGAAGCGCCGAACAGAGGTGGAATTGTAAAATTGCCATCTGCCTTTTCTAAACAGACGTAGAAAAAAAATGATGGAATCACGTGGCTCTCTTATTCCTTCTTCACTTTTTCTCTGTTTTTTGACAGTGATATTTTTTTATGAAATTTTCTTAAAAACTGTCGATTTTAAAAATATTTTTCTGGTTTTCGTTTCAATATGAAATGTATCATAACTTTACATATAACTTATAAATTTTGCTTTGCCCGCAGTCCACTAGTGAGTATTAAGATTAAAAACACAGCGATCAAATAATTTTTGGAAATATTTTAAACTGTTCATGAATGAGTTTCTAAGAAATACCCTGCAGATATTCCACTGGTAATTTCTCCCTTTCCCAAAAATATGTATTTATATTTATATTTAACAAACATTCTCTATTTGTAAAAAGAAAATAAAAGTAAATGAAATTTAATTGCAAACAAATAAATGATTAATTATTGCTGCGAACTAATCTACAATATCATTTAAATTCTGAGAGCATATGTAAATCAAGTGCAAGTATCAAAATCCATGAATAAATATATAATTCCAAAATTTTTTTAAATGCATAAGTGAATAATTGTTG